TTGAGCGTTTGCTATGTGCAGGGAACTATTCAGAATGCTGAATGAAATGGCTGTGAAAATAAGAGAGAGGACGCTATGCTATACTATCCACCTACATCATCATTGGTATCTTCACTCCAACTTTGTGAGATGTAATTACGCCCTGATCTCAGGGGAGCAAACCCAGCCTGAGAGCTGTTTAGTCAGTTGGCCAAGAACAGAACTAGCCGTGGTCGGGCGGGGGTTTGGTTCCAGGTCTGCCCAGCTCCAAAGCCTGTGCTCTTAATTACGTTGCCTCTGCCATGCTCATAACTCTGTTAACAGCCATAAATCCAGCTCTGTCTGTTAGACCCAGTAAATTTCAAAGTGGAAAATCATTTTTCCAATAAAACTACACTTAGAAAAAAACGATGTTAACGCTCATACATTCTACCCTCATTATGACATCAGCCTCCGAGCCAAACTGTTTTGCACGTTATAAAGAGCTGTTTTTATGATGAATGGGGATTATATTGGCACTTTAATTGAGTTAGAAACCAAGGTATGTGAATGTTAGTGCACGAGAAATGCAATAAAAAAAAGCTGTTCAATGTGATTGGAATATATCAGATTAATTTAATACCACTTTTAACTACTTACAGTCCATACTTTTAAATATGTTCAATCAATTCTTGGATTAAATATTTATATGCATATGTATGTGCACACATTTTGCCCCTCAAAAAAAAAATCTTTTTCTTACAGTTAGTTTCCTATCACATTCTTAGCAGATCTCATGTATGAAAAATTTGGATTTCAAGTTTGTGATCAAAATTCTTTCTTTGTCATAGGAATGCAACTATTATCCTCTTATATTCAAGTATGGTAATCTAGGAAGTTAGCACATATTTGGATAAAATTATGTAAACTTTTGAAAAGTCACTTTCCACAGTAGGGTTTTTGACTGAAACACCGGTTCAGTTTCAGCCATATTTAATTATTTATTTGATTTCTTTCATTCTAGTTCAAATCTGTCCATCGTTTAAAAAAAAAAAACTCAATTCACAAGCCCTTAAAATTAGTACGTAGGGGCCAGCAGTTAAGTTTTCATGTTCTGCTTTGGCGGCCCAGGGTTTGCTGGTTCGGATCCCACGTGTGGACCTACGCACCACTTGGCAAGCCATGCTGTGGTAGGCGTCCCACATATAAAGTAGAGGAAGATGGGCATGGATTTTAGCTCAGGGCCAGTCTTCCTCAGCAAACATAAGAGGAGGATTGGTGGCAGATGTTAGCTCAGAGCTAATCTTCCACAAAAAAAAAAGGAAAAAAAATTAGTACTTGTATTTGCTTGATTTAATATTCAACAAATTAAAGAGAGTTTATTTTAATTTAGGGCTGTGTTTACCTTAAGACCAAATCTTCATTTTAGAGAAAGAAAGTGGTATTTAAATTATTTAGTTAGATTGGAGGCCTTGAGACAAGTCAAAATCTGTAGGCTTTCAGAAAATGAGATGTCCTATAACTTGCCCTTTTCTAATTCAATCAAAAAAATAGAATTGTCAGCCTAAGAGTTAATGCATAGAGTGTGGATTTTTTAAAACATAATTGGGACAAGTGTTTTGAGGAATTAATTTGCCCAAATCGTGTTGTGGTTTAGCACACTATGATATTAGCGTTGTAAAGCGTGTATTGAATAGTTTCCATCATTTAGGCTTGGCTGTGAATGAATCCGAGGGTTCCTTTTGTTATAAATTACTATTTCCTAAAATGCTTTTGCAGAGAGGCAATGAAACACTTTTAGATTTGGAATGTTTAAAGAGCTGTTCGTGCCAGTGGTTGATTTTGAGCCAGCTCAAATGTTTATAAGAATTCATAAAACAAAGCGAAGTTGAGGATGGCCCGTTTGCTGTTACCTCATTTTCCTCCCACTGAACTTCTCCCTTGCTTCTTGGACGATGCTGCTGCAGCCACCGCTGCCTCACCTGATCCTGCAGTGTGATGGCTGCTTGGCCACAGAGCTGAAGATAAGGATTTGAACTTTTGCATAAAAAGTCTCTTAGTACCGCTAGAGCCCCACTCCGGTCTTGAGTCTTGAGCAGCATTAACATAAGAATGACAACTGTTTTTTCAGATGTAGGTAAATCCCACATTCCCCAGTTGGAGTCACGTGAGAAGGGATATCTTAAAATAGCAAAAAGAAGGGGGAATAGCCATTGTATATGCTTACAGCTTGAGGCAAGAGGGAGGGTTATGAAATATTTCCAGGTGCATAGTGTGAATGTACAGAAGGTTCCTTTGGCTATGGTTGGTCACCAGGCAGGGAGAGCTGTGCATTGCTGTGGCAAGAGTTCCTGGCTTGAGCCAGTAGTTTTCTTAGTTCTCTAGGTCTTTCAGGAAGACTCGGGAAGGGGCCATTGGAAGATGACCCCATGAGAATTGAGATATTTTGCCGTGATACCATTGATGGCTATGGCCGTTCAGTAAATCCAGATTCTGCAGCTTCCTCTTCCCTCCTTCTTTCCATCCTAATGATCTCACTCTGCCTGTGTTGGGCCGTTTGAAAATAACTCGAGGCCCGCTGGAGGTTTTGCCAGAGAACCATGAAAATCTGACCATCACATTAACTACCCTTCATTGTCGTTACTGCCGATTTTTAAAATGAATTCTCTTCTGCAAATAGGCAGAAGGCCGCTGCCCGCCAGTTCTGAGCATCAGCACACATGTGCTTCAGCAGTTCCCAGCATGATAATGGGAGCATCTTTGGGTAAATAAGCATGAGAGTTTATATTTCCACCAGCTCCAGAAGGGGTCGGAGTTTTGATCTTGACTTTCAGCTGGGCCTTTCTGAGTTGAGGAGGAGGGGGTCATTGGATGGGAGAGGAGGCCCTCAAGGAGAAGACCAGAGGAAGGTAGTCTCCACATGGTTGTTGCCGCCCAGTTTCCATCTTTTCAGTTGCAGGGGTTTCTATCAGAACAGAGTTCCGGTGAAATCTATTAGAAAGAAATCTGAGTTGAACTCATTTGGAGGTTAATTTAGAAAAGAGAAGCAGGATGAGACATCATCGCAGAGACTGCCGAGACTAGGCTGAGTTAATTAGTTCACATTGGTCTTGGCGGGGGTGGTGTGGGGGACTTGGAACAGATTGACCCCGGACCGTCCTGGGCGCCGGGCCCATCAAAAGCTGGTAGGGGGGGCGCACCTCTGCCAGGCAGCGGACGGGAGAGGTGTGAGCACATGATAAGGCTGCAGTTGTGGTTTAATTAGGCTTGAAAAGAGAAAAATTGGGCTAAATTAGATGTGTTCTAGAAGCAGTTGGATGCTTTTAATTTTCTCTAAGGTTCCTTGCCCACACCTCCTTTTTTTTGTTTGTTTTTTGGCTTTATTTTTGAAGATCTGAAGGCCTCAGTCGGTAGATCCTTGATTATTTAGGAAGGAATCTTTCAACACAAGAAGAACCGTCAAGAAATAGGATCTATGTTCATAGACTCAGCCTGAGAAAAAGCCATTCGTCTCGGTGCCGCGCTTGGAGCAGATAGAGCCGGGCTTCTTGCAGGAGCGATAAATCTGCCACCAGATGTCTCTGTAGCCCACTCCACAGGAATGTTAGCAAGAGCCCAAGGCTGTGGAAGCTGGAACCTGAGCTTTCTGTGGACCTCATGGTGCATTCCCTAACTTAATAAATTAAGCAGAAACCACTGAGTCTGTGCGTGTGTGTGCGCATGTGTGTATTTTCTTTCCTGAGCTGTCTCTGCCTGATAGGGTGTTCCCTTAGCGCTTTGGTAATTTATTTCCCTGCCCTGATTCCCTTTGAAATGCAGGCGAGGAGTAGTAGTAGTGTGCTTTCAGAAAAAGAGATTAAACATTGGCAGGTGCAGCAGACAGTGGCAGTGAAGCCTGGTAATCGTGTCTCTTTCCCTAAGCTGGCTCTCTGGTGCTGTTATGATGCCAGGGACAGGTAGGGCAGGCCACTGAATCCTGGGCTCCCTGCGGGGTCTCCAGCCACCCAGCAAAGGGCCGCCCATGACCGCTAAAAACAGTGATTCGCCTTACTGTTTGTGTAAATCAGTTTTAGAAGCTTTACAGCATTTCAATGGAGAACCAATGGGCAAGTTAATTAGGGAAATTAAAAACATGTCCGGGAAAGAGAGAATTGATGGTGAGCGTGGTATATGCTTAATCTTTGAAGCAGGAGATGATGAAAACAGCCCACCAATTTCATCACAAGGTAGTTCAGGGAAAGAAAACCAGCCAGATGAGTTGTTTGGTTAATTGTGGCACTTACCCGAGTCAGGCTGGTCTGTCCTGGGTGCGATGATGTAAGCTGTTACTGCCCTTCCTCGTGTTTCTTGCTATGACTACCTAGTGATCTGACACATAAAGTCTCCACATGGCACGCTTCTCCGCTGTCTTCCCACCTGAGCAAAGGGAGTGAGTGTGGTGCATCCTGTGACGTCATGGATGACCACACACATACGCAGACTTTGAGGAACAAGGTGACCACCCACAGGAGGCATGCGTCGTCCGCATCTCTGGGTTTTTGTCGAGCTGTCTGGCAATAATCTTAACAGAGCCTAACGTTTTATTTGGAACGTTTCCAAATAAAAGACTGGGATGCGAAAATAAGAATCGGTCAATGGGTGAGTTGATAGCTGAAGAAAAGAAGAGAACATGTAATATAAAACAACCAGCAAAGAAATATGATTCAACGTGATTCACACACTTCATCACATAATCGTCGGCAACACATCCCTATTGTCAGTGGCAACACTCTTTCGTTTATATAGGGTGGAAGTTGGGATACAAAGCATCATAAAATGCAGTCCTGATCTTATTCAAAAAATGGTGCAGCTTTTAAGAATTTTCAGAGTCTCTCCTCCTCCTGCAAAGGTCTCACATACACACAATATCCTGTTTTTAAAAAAATCAGTTGAGGATAGATTTTGTGAAAACAAGAGGGAGAACCTTGGTGTGGAGACCCGGTGCTGGCAGGTTCTGTCAGTAGAGCAGGATGTGATGCTGTGATATGATTCTCTTTTGACAGCTTACAGCGGGCGGTGAAGAGAGGCTGGAGCTACCCCGGGAAGACCTGCGCCTCGGTGGGCAGCGCTATCAGCAGAAGGAGCAGACGGGCTCTGTGGAGGCTCCCAGTGAAAGGCTGTATTCCCTGAAGATCAGAAACACTACCAGCTGCAGCTCGGGCACATACAGGTGCACTCTGGAGGACCCGGAAGGGCAGAGAAACCTGAGTGGCACCGTGATCTTGAAGGTGACAGGTGAGGTTATCTGCTGCACCTGCCTCCTTCTTGCAAAATGCATGTGCGCTTTCTGTAGGTCCTACAATCATCCTCTCAGTCAAACTCTAACTCAGAAGCTTTGGATCACCTCTGTGGCTAAAAGCTAAATTCTACTGCAAGAATGTCATCACTTTCTCTGTCTTTTTTTTTTTTTTTTTTTTAAATAAGGACAGATCTTACCCCAGCCTAACTGGAGTGGATGTCAGATGTAGCCAAACAACTAATATGGCTGTTGTTTTTACATATAAGCATCCTTTGAAGCAAATAGGAAGTATCAAAGCCTAATTTTTGGAAGATGGAGAAACTGTTGTCCTGAATACATCAGATAACTGGATAGTATTGTACTCTCTGCTCATTTTAGTTTTCTAACCCAGCCTAAGGGAGCTGCTTCATGTCTCCACCTTTTTAACATGGGAATGGCATTTCCCTCCCACTTTATAGTGCTTGAAATTCCCAATACCTCAATTCAGGCCAAAGAAAAATACAAAGAGTACAGCAAGAAAATAGTGTTCCAATGTCAGAACACACTTTTTTGCTCCATGTAGTAATACCAAGAATCGAGCATCAAGGCAAGGATCATCTCCCTGGATCTTTTTTTTCATAACTTTTCTTTATGTAGCTTGAAACATACCTTGCAATTGACTTCTGCCAACTCTTATTAGTGGCTGAGGCTTGAAATGACACACATGCTGTTGTCAGAGTCCCTGATTTTGTACAATAGCTGCTTTCTCCTCCTATCAGGTGTCTGAAAGGAGTCTGACTCAAGATAATATCCTTATACTCGCAGGAACACAATCGCTGTGTAGGTGCCAGTGTTTGGGTTTCGGTCTCTGTTATACACACATGCACGCACACACGTGCACACACCACTTAGACCTTCTCAGTCTCTGGCCCTTTACACTGTTTTGCTCGCCTTCACAGCACTTACTACACCTGACATGATACACTCTCTGGTTTGTTCTCTGCTGTCTCCTGGCACACAGTAGGCCCTCAGTGACTATTATTCACGCAAATGAGAAATGAGAGCAACCCAGCAGGGAAGAGCAGAGAAGGGAGGTGGTTCCTGCGGGGAGCGGAGAGGAACAGAGAGCAGCTGATTTTCTTTTCTTTCCTCTTCAAAGGCAATATTGCCTCCAAATCAGATACTCAGACTCTCACGTCACTTATCCGGTTCAAATATTGGCTCTGCTGCTCATTAGCAGGTGACCTTGGGCTAATCACTGACTGACTCTAAGCTTCAGTTCTCTCGTCTCTGAAATGGGGGTAATAATATCTACAATGGGGCTGGTTGTGAAGGTTAAAGGAGATGTTGCAGTAACATGCTCGGTACAGTGCCCAAGACTGAGCACTCAATGACTATTAGGAAACATTAGGACGATGGCTCCTCCCCTTCTTTTCTTGAGTCACAGACTCCTGTGAAATCTGTCCCTAGACTATTGCATGAAAGTTTGAATCCAGGCTCAGGGTCGACAGCTCTCTGGAGGTCCATCCATGGCCCCAGGGGAGAAACCCCCTTTGATCATGTGTAATCCATCTGCTCCTGCCTGGGCCTTTACGCAGACTCAGTTCACAACCTTGCTACCCCAGAGAGCACGCTAGGTGTCGTGCTTGAGTGGGGAGAGGCCATCCCCGCCATGTCCCTCACCCCTCCTGCCCTTGCCCTCCCTGGGGGCTGCAGCCACAGCCTTTAAAGCTCCTTAGGGAGCAGCTCTGAGGCCTGCCTTTGCTGCCAGCCTTGGTGGAGGAGCTTCAACAGTTTTTCAAAAATATGTCGACTTCTTCCGTAACAGCAGGGCAGCTCTCCTGCCCTGTTCACAGTCCCACAATCCTCCTGAGGTGGATTCTACACAACATTCTGTGCCACACTGATGAAGTTAGATAGTGTACAGATTAGCAAATGATGGTTCCTGTGGGGAAGTCAAAGTAAAAGCCAGAAAATGCCCAACATCTGAAATGGACGCAGATGGGCAGCAGGATTAGTTTGGACCAGACTCTTGGCTGTGCCACCTGCCTGAGTCCCTCAGCCTTGGAGCTGTGACAACTTCATCTATAAAATGGGGATCCTCAGACCTGACTCCGAAGGTTCAGTGAGATGCTACGTGTCGATCCCAGTGCACACAGCCGGGCACAGAGTGAGCCTGAGCGCTAGCTGCTGCCACCGCGTAACTGCTGTCATTACCGTGGTTCTTCCCGACAGCACAGAGGGAGGGTAGGAATGAGAGACAAGTAGGACTTAAAAAGGCAGGAGCAAAGCGTTCTTAGCTTTTTATTGTGGTAGAAAACTTAAATGGTTTCATATTTTACTTTTTTTTTTTTAAGGATGCCCTAAGGAACCCAAAGGAGAGACTTTTAAGAAATACAGAGCTGAGATTGTACTGCTGTTGGTTCTGGTCGTTTTCTACTTAACACTCATCATTTTCACTTGTGTAAGTATCTTTTTAAAACATCTATTATTATTAAAAGATCACCAGAGGCCCCACTCCTAATATGTTTTGTAGATAGCGTGAATCGTTTAATAATGGTGAGAGAGACTGTTCTCTGAACCCTGCCCCTGTGGGGGCCCCCCGCACTGTGAGAATCACCACGGGAGGCTCCCGGCTCGTTTTTCATCTAGTGGTTCTGCTCAGAGCACTGTGAAGAGAGAACGAAGTACGACTTGTGAAGGGAGTTTGAGATGCCAAAAGGATCCTGCTAGAGCACCAGGGGGCCTTGTAGTTACAGGGGTAGAAAGTGCAACCCTGACCGGCCACCAGTGGGGGCAGAGGCACCGTTCTTCCTGTAGGCAAGAGAGCAAGCCCAGCCGCCCTGCTGACAGGCCAGTCTCCTTTGCTTGCCCGTGGCCTGTTTTCTCTTAGAGGTTCTCCCCTTATATTTTTGGTACCTCCACCTACTTCTTAAGAATTAGCCCTGAGAAGCCAGAGCAGTGGGGTACACAGGGAGTGTCCTGGGGTGAAGGATGGCTGGGCAGTGCTTAGGTGTCCTTGACATGCCCTTGAGCTCTTAGTAGCAGGCTCCAGCTTAAAGCCCCTGAGCCTCTTTGTGTATGGCTTCTCACCTGGGTTGATGGTGGTCATGGGGGAGCAGGGCCCGCAGGGGGTCTGACCCACTAGGACGTGGTCTGTCCCATGCCTCTCAATACCATCAGGAAGGGCTGGCCATGTAGGGACCAGGACACATCTCACCCAGGAGCTGTCTCACACTGGTTCTTGTCATCCCTGGACCCCTCTATTCACTTAGTTGCCTCTCTGGCTGAGCACTTATCTCCCTGGTGGTTCTTTCAGATATCAGTCAATCAAAAGACTCCAGTGAGCACCTTTGTTTACAAGTCATCATGCCAGGCACTGTGGGGCATATAAAAAGGTGTAAGACATAGTTCCTGCCCTCCAGGAACTTACAGTTTGGTCATTAGAGTTATTTGTACATAAGAAGATAATTAGAATTCCTGAGCAGTAAATTTAAAAAATGAGTGACTTTGCTTTCTTGTTGGCAAATGCCTGTCTCTCTGGGCACTGATTTTCCATACAGATAACTAACAGTAGGGGCTTGAAATGGCTCCTGTCTGTAATCAGTGCATCTCCTGGTCAAAGCTTGGAGATACCAGTGAAGTAGTACAAGCCCACTGTGGAGGGAGTGAGGTAGCCAGTATAACGAGGGCTTCAAGAATGAGCCATGTCTTGGTGAATGAACTTTAACTTGAGGTGTCAACTGATGAAGTTTTTCAATTAATCGCTTTTCAACTTACCTCTTTATTTGATTTTCTTTCTCAGAAGTTTGCACGACAACAGAGTATTTTTCCAGATTTTTCTAAACTTGGCATGGAACGAGCTTTTCTCCCAGTCACCTCTCCGAATAAGCACATGGAGCCAGTGACTCTTCCCAAGACGGAACTGGTGTGAGCAGGATTGCTGTGGGTTGTTTTCTCTAAAGTCAAAGGCTCCGTGGTGTGTGTGTGTGTCACACTGGACAAGAGAAGAATGAGCTGCACACCGAAGATGACATCCTTCCTGTGAAGTCCTTCACGGAAACATCTGAAAGTGGATCCCAGCCCACTTCTGGGGAGCAGGATCTTGAGAACCATTACATGACCTCATAGCGTGGGGACTACGGGCAGGGTGCCCTCTAGAGCTGGATGTCCGCGGCTGCTTCTTACCATTTTATTCAGCTATCTGGTCAACCTCTTGGAAACTTTTTCAGTCATATGAAAGCTATGGGGAGATGCAGTTGGAAAAGGATCTGGGGAAATATGAATGCCCAGAGCTGGCCCTGTGACAGACTCTTGAGGACAGCTTTCCTCTTCCACATCTGGGAAACATCTCTTTGAGTTTGCTGTGTTTTCTTGCACTAGCCCAGATGTTTTATGTCTGGGAGAAATTGACAGGCCAAGCTGTGAGACAGTGGGAAATATTTAGCAAATAATTTCCTGGTGTGAAGGCCCTGCTATTACTAAGGAGTATTATGTGTACATAGAAATAACAGGTCGATGAACTGTTCCCCAAGAGGGCCTTTTCATCTGGGAAAGACATCCATAAAGAAGCAATAAAGAAGAGTGCCACATTTATTTTTATATCTATATATACTTGTCACAGAAGGATTTGTGTTTTTTCTCCTTTTGAAATCTATGTCTACAGTTAGCTATTATTGCTAACTGACAAGCAACCTGAATATGGCGAGTGAGAAGAAGTTGGAGAAGGTGACAACAGGACAGAGAGCTATTTAGTGACCTGATGGAAATGCTGGACCAGTCATGCAATCTGGTTGCTAGCCACCGTTGTCCCACTACCTAGCTGTGTGATATTGGGCAAGATCCTTATGGTTTCTACATTCTCAGTTGTAAACCAAAAGTTTGTTGCATGAGTTGATTGAAATAATGTATGTGAAAAGTCTTTGAAAAAGTATAAAGCACTATACACATTCTAAACTCCATTGGGTCACTATCTTTATTACTACAGTAGCCTGGGCATGCGAGAATGCCTTTCGTTTTTTCATGTTTTCAGCCATTCTGGACAAAGAAGGCTATGAAGACGATTTTCCCACAGTCTTTGGGATGAATTCCTTTGGGGAAGTGAGGAGGCCACTTCAGTGGTCTGTTCTTGAAGTGCCAGCCAAAAGTCCTTCAAGATATGGACACAGGAGCCGGTGGGCCATGGGGAGAAGGGAGTTCCCCCAAAATGTTACATTGACATTTTGGCAATTGTTGGGTTTCTCTTATCAAACTTGGCCCTTTCCATACTTATTTTCCAAAAAGAACGTGGCCTACACTAATATTAGTAAAAGGGATGCCGAGTTGATTGAGTGTTTTTGCTTCTTTGTCATGGATTTCGTGTTATTAAATGTATGCATGTGAATAGGGAGTGTTTTTCTTTTATATTTAAAACTACTCATAAGACTTTGGGATGAGTGCTAGGATGTCTATAAACTAGATTGAGAACCAGAACCTAAGATGAAATTCTAGAGAAGAAAGATTGGCTGATTCCTTCCCCTGAGAGGGAAGGCATTTATGGCAGGTAGACCTCTATGAAACAGCACTTTCTCCTTCCCAAAGATGCCCGTGAATCCATCCTCAAGTTGCCTTGCCACCAAGTAGTGCGGCATCAGCTTGACCACATGTGTGACCACAGGTGGGAGGGATGGAAAAGAAGGAGGGTTTCCACTTCAGAAGGATGTGTGAAGTCAGGGTCTCTGTACGTGGGATTCATGGGGTTTCACTCAAGATCCTTAGTGGGTTCGTTACCCCAAAGATGATAAGAACAGTTTAGTACAAGTGGTTATAATAGTTGCAGAAGCGTCATAGGTGAATCCACTTTGGAGAATGGCTCTTTGTAAAGATGAATGCCCATAAAATGTCTGTAAAAGCTATTGATTCCTTTTCAGTGAAATCAACCCCATGCTCAAATGCTTTACCAAAACTGCTGGGGAGACCAGTTGGCATGGAAACTAAGAGCTCAGAGAATTCTTACTCAGCCGAGTTTGAAGCTCATCCTACCCACCCTCATCACGTAGAAGTTCTACCACCTCGGCTGGGGACTTGCTTCTCTAAGCCTCAATTAGCAGATTTTTTAAAAAAAAAATTTATTTGTTTGTTCCTTCAAATTCTTTGGTGTTTTGCTTTTTTTTTTTGGCGAGGAAGATTTGCCCTGAGCTAACCTCTGTTGCCAGCCTTCCCCTTTTTGCTTGAGGAAGATTGTTGCTGAACTAACATTTGTGCCAATCTTCCTTATGTTTTTGTGTTAGATGCTGCCACAGCTTGGCTTGATGAACAGCATGTAGGTCTGTGCCTGGGATCTGAACCTGCCAAAATAGAGTACACGAACTTAACCATTATGCCATAGTATCTGCCTAATAGGTTTGTTGTGAGGATTGAACGAGATAATACATCTAAGAGCTTAGACCAGTGTCTGGCAAATAGTAAGCCCTAGAATAACATTAGAATCAGAAAGAAGAAAAAGGCAGCAGAGAAAGTAACAGTGACCATGAATCTTTGACAAAGCGGTTTTGTTAAAAGGAAGAATTGACTTGGTGGGGGAGGCATATTGCTTTCAGAGGATGGATATACAATGAAACTAAATGCTCCATGGCCATTAGAATGACAGTACCTGAGAAACGAGGGGCGAGGGCTGCCCTTCGTCAGTTTGGACCAACTTCAGCTAAAAACGTGATGGAAATTTGAGATCAGGTGGGACTCAACATTTCACACCTAGTCTTTGGTATAAGAGAAGTTGTGTGTGTGCGTGTGTGTGTGTGTGTGTGTGTGTGTTTGTGGGAGGGATGGGGGTGGGTAAGAGTGAGCAGGGCAGAACTTATCAAGGAGAGTGAACTGGTTTTCCACTGCCTTTACTGGGGCCCATCGTTATTTCAGAGGAAGGCAGAGGATTGTGGACCATATTTATTCTGTCTCCACTGCCAGGGAAAGCTTTGTTCTCAGGGCCCTCCTTTGTCTCTGCAATTAGATCTACAGTTATAATAATTTCACCTTGGGATGTCCCAAGACACAAATACAGACATGAATATCAGCTCCACTTCGTTCCAAAGGAAGGCCTGTGGTTTTTGTTTTCATAATAATTCTTAGCAGGTTTCATCACAGAAAGTACTAAGCTGCACGCACTGGGCTCCGCAGAGCCCGATTATTTGCTGGGGCTGTAGAAGAGCTCTGACAGCAGCCTGTGGATGTAGGGAGAGTACGTGAGGCTCATGTGTTTGACCCCTACGGCTCAGTAAGAATTGGGAGTCTCAGGATGATTCATTCTGGTTCCCAGCTCTTTCCTCATTGGCAACTTTATTGGGCTGCATTAACTGGAAAATTGTTTATTACTCCATCCTTCCTCTGTCAAAATAGCCAAAGGCCTGAAAATCTTAGGATAGGTGTTGTTTGCTTAATTCAATGGCAATTGTCCCTCATAGTTTTGCGACCGATTGTTTGCAGAGCCAGATTTGAGCTAATTGATTGGTAAGATACAATCAATCAGTTCTTTGATGGGAGTCTATTATTGCTATTTATTGTCTTCTCAAAACTAGATGTGTTTATTTTCTAATTTTCGCCATTAAATTGCATGGGAAGTTAAAATTGTACAACTGCCTTTTGGTAGTGTGTGTGTGTGTGTGTGTTGAATGGGTGAAATTGTACATAAGTACATTTGCTGAGCATTTACTCCGGACACAATACTCTTGTAGGTGCTCCATGTAGTACTCAAGAAAAGCAAGACACAATCCTTCCCTTCCAGGAGCTCACAGTCCAGTGGAGAGAGAAATGAGCTCAGAGCTGTAAGCACCAGTACTTGTTTTGCTTACCATTAGCAAGTAGACAAAGAATAGTGGGAACACAGGAAAAGGACCGTGGGAGGTTCTGAATTCATATGGGAGCACCTTAGACCACTTTAAAGAACTGATTCCACTTGGACTTGAAAGACAAGCAGGATTTTGAACAGTAATCGTGGGAGAGGGTGATGGGAAAGGCAAAGGCAGGGTCTCTGGAGCAAAAAAGTAGAGAGCACCCTTGAACAGAGAAATCTATGAGAGTTTTTGTAGGCGCAGGGTACCCACAGCCCAGGCCAAATAGGGAGGAGGCAATAATGGAAGATAGACACGTTCTTGTAGAGACTTTGTACGGTGGGGCAGTAACGAAGGATTCTGAGTCAGGGAGCCATATAATTAGATCCATTTCTAGGCCAATTACCAGGCAAACGAAGTGGAGGATGAAATGAAAGAGCTGCAGGAGATGGGAAGCAGGAAGACTTTAGGAGGCTGATGGAAGCCCAGAGAAGCGCAGCATCAATGGAAGAGCAAAGAAGGAATGGAAACAAACTGGTTCCCTTATGTTGTCCTTTCTATTTTCAGTCCTGGGTTTTCTTATGATCCTAGCGACTGCACATACGTTTTATTTTTTACTTAGGTCTCCTTTCCTTTTTAAAAAGAAAGGAATGGAAAGAAAGAGACTATCCCTTCCATCTTGACCCCTCTACATAACAGGCAGAACTTAGTCATCTTAGACCACAGAAGAGGTCCCTGTGTGTCATGATCGTCACGGTAGCTGACAGGACTCTGGTGCTGCTAGAGTTGTAGATGCTTCATGATTAAAGGTGGTTTTATCCATCTTCGCTCCCACTCCTGCCTCAACTTTCCTGTCCTAGCAGAACATTTCTGGTTTTTCCCTTACATAATTTGATATTATTTTCCATCAATGATTGGTTAATTTGAGAAGCATCAAGTGCATCATCAGAGCTTTTTAGGTTTATTTTCCCCTGTTCACAGTCACAGACCTAACATTTGCTTATGTCATTGGTTCTGTACCTTTATACTTTTGTCCAGCTGATTATGTGTTACATAATTTCTTCCTAGTGATTTTAAAAACAAAATCTTACAGCAGTTGGCTGACTAGCAGACACTGCTAACAAAGCAGTGGATAAACCAAAAAGCACCTTCAAGGGAGCTTAATGGGTTGCATGTGGGTAACATGGGAAGGGTATGAAAATGTTTTAGAGAAAAGGAAAATGGTGCCATGTAACATTGTTTGTTGCCCCAGAGCTTGATAAATTACACAAGAGCCCCCCTTTCGTCCTTCAGAGACAAGGCATTTCACTTGCAGACATCTTTTTTCTCTTCCACTTTATTTCATTCTCCCCATGGGATCCCAGGCAAGTGCACAGTTAGGTAATGAAGAATTATCAGGAAAACATCATCTAGGCAGGGTGTATGTGTTTCCATGGTTCCTGAGAAGTTAGGGTGATGGAAGGAGGTGAAACTTGGGCACTGAAATCAAACCTTCTCTTCTCTCCTCCTTTCAAAGCATAAACACATGCAGAATACCTCTGGGCAAGGGAGACAGGCCTCACTTAGTGGTTCATTCAGATTCTGCATGAGAAGGAGATACTGTTTTATTCTTCATCATAAGAGGGCCCATTTCTTCAAATTGACCATTTTCCCCATCCCTTTTTTCCTAAGTAACCTGTTTACAATCTACCCTTGTCAATTACAGTACTTAGTAGAGACAAGCAGAGAGAAATTCAGACGTTGAAAAGCTTGAAGACATCCCACAGAGTTGGAATGCCTTTTTCAAAGGGAAAAAAATCTGCAAATGTGTATGTACTTGCCTATGTACCCGAAAGAGCCAGCTGGACAGCACATAAACGGCTCCCATTCAGGAATAACAAAAGCCCATGTCAGAAGTCAAGGGACAGGAGGCTGAGAACTAATAATAATTTTGCACTTACACAGCAGTTTTCATCCGAAGACCTTAGAGTGCTTTATAAACATTAATTAAATTGCCCCACAGCCCTGGGAGATGGCTGTGGATCAGTATTTCTAATTTGTGGGGGGGTGGAGGGAGGAGAAATGCATGCATGGAGTGAAGTTGGAACCCGGCCATGCTACAATGCATGTGGATTGCAGACTCAGAAAAAGCAGCAAGACCTTTTCCCCTTGAACCCAAGGCTGTGGTCATATGTCACTGTGCCTGCTAGGCCAAGAGGGAGATTGCCTGGTAACAGACCTATCCAGGATGACTCCCAGAAGGACCCACCTTAGAAGGCTGCCTGAACCGGGCTTGAAGGGCACCGGCACCATCTTCCCCACAAGCTCATCACCATGTGCTGGATTGCCATCATTCCAGACTCATTCCCTCATTCCTTTAGTGGGACTTGTGATGGCAAATCAGTTTCACCTCAGATACTAGCTCTGATTGCTGGGAGGTACAGCCAGGACAGCTGTGTGGAGAAGGATTGAGATGTCTAGTCTTCTCCATAGAAAATCCCATGATCGATTATTATGTCTGCCCTGCATGTGGGCAAAGTTAGTTATTGTGGTTTGAATTGTGTCCCCCCCAAAAGATATGTTGAAGTCCTAACCCCTGGTACCTGTGACTGTGACGTTATTTGCAGAGAGAGTCTTCGCAGATGTAATCAAGATGAGAGAATGCTGGAGTAGAGTGGGCCCTAAATCCGAGGACTGGTGTCCTCATAAGAAAAGGGAAATCTGGACACAGACACAGAAGAGAACAAACACCATGTGAAGATGGAGGCAGAGACGGGGGTAATACGTCTATAAACCAAGGAATGAGTCCAATTGCTGGCAACCACCAAAGCTAGAAGCAGCAATGGGAGGAGTCTTTCCTAGAGCCTTCGGAGGGGGCATGGCGCCGCCGGCACCTTAGTTCAGACTTCTTACCTCCAGAACTCTGAGAGAACGCATTTCTGTTCTTTTAAGCCACCCAGCTTGTGACTCTTTGTTGCAGCAGCCCTAGGAAATTAATACGATAGTCTAAATATTGGAAGCTTCTAAACGCAGGACCATTAAATGATAATTTATGCAAAAACGTATCCCACCATTGTATTTTTGATAAACGAGGGAAGATTTCCCGGAGGGATTGGGCTGTGACAATGGAGAGGAGGACAAGGTGGGCACATCATAACGGTGGTGACGGTAACATCACCGTGGTCCTCTGGCATGGCACACACTGATGGTTCTCAGCCACTGAGATGTTTTGGTGGGTAACTTCTGTTGTGCAGTGTTGATTTGCAATCATGAAAATGCATCTAACACGTTCCATTTCTTAATCCCTCTAACGAAATAGAAAGAATATCAAGGAATGCTTCCGGAAACCAGATCAAGTGAAGCAAGAAGGAAAAATAATCTACAGGAATTAAGATCTAAACTCCGGGAATATTAATCTGGTATGGGTGAGGTTGCCAACCTTTGGAGCAAGAGATCTTTGTGTCCATTCTTAGTCTTTCCCTTTCCAGGCTCTTTCTTTCAAAATACAAACAGTCCTGGGAGAGGTAACACATAAAACAATATTATAATGTCAGGGAACATGCTGTTCTGAAAAGAAAATGGTCTTTGGAGTCAGACAGATGTGAATTGGAATCCAGGCTCTGTCATTTAGTAGTTCTATGGCATCAGGCACATCGCTTGACCTTTCCGTACCTCAATTTACTCATCTGCTAGGTGGGTGTAATGAGATTCTCGTAGGCTTGTTGTGAGAACTCAATGAATTGATATTTGTTTAAAAACTGCTCTGGAGTGTAGTATTAGTAGCATTTTCTTCTGCTCAATAAGTGGCTTTCCTTCCCATGGAGAGTGGATGAAATGGGAAAGCCAAGCTGGAGAAGGGGCAGAGGGTGAGGCCAACATAAAGATTCTGCGTAATTCAGTCTGCCACTGGACTGTGGTTTGAAGAGAAGTTGCTTCCTTCTCCACTTGGCGTCAGGGTAGCTCTGCTCCCAAGACTCTCCTTTCCTCCTTGCCCAGGGTTCCCCAGAGCTGCTGGGAGTGAGAGCAGCAGCCGCCCATAGTGGGCCAGCCACGGGCAATGGAGCTGCTTCTTTCCGTGTCTTTGCTCTCCGAGGCAGGGCCCACAGCCGAGGACCTGGAGCTGGGGAGCCACTGGGGGCAGCTCCAGCTGTCAACGGAATCCTCTGCGCAGGTTGGGGGCCAACCGACGCAAAGAACAGAAGTAGAAGTTGCTCCTATCAGACCGGGCCAAGGGAGAAACCAGCAAGCTTACCTTCTTTGAGAGTGTTCTCTGAACCCCAATTAAATGTGTCAACTCTAATTTACCCAAACAGAAACAGTCTTTGCCAAATGGCTCATCATCTTTTATTTTTTTTAACGAATGCTAACAAGTTTTGAGTTTAACTTTTTGCTTCCCCACGCTCTATATAACCAAGGGAATGAGTAACAGCCTTGATAAAAATAAAAATATCTTTAATGTTGAATTCCCCACCAAAGATGACTGGTATCCCAACCACAGGCTCAACTCCTGTGGCTCCTGAGTGGCTCACCTTTGCCCTTGGCCACCATCGTGTTTTCTCCTTGGGACTGCCACGCTGCTCTCCCTCTGCCACCTGGTGGACTGGTCCAGCGGCTGCATCCCACATTCCTGGGGCTTAGGAAGCATGAGGCTGACGTTGGTATGTGTTGCTGTTCCTGTTGCGGCTGCGGGGCCCATGAAAATTGGAAAGGCCTCTCTCAACAATAAAAGCTCCCTAAATAAGAGGTTTGACTACTTGACGTTTCTTTTAGTTCCTGGAATTGGGGCAGTTTCCACCACCTCCGTGCTGCCTTCAGAAACATCTTGTCCGCCTACAATCAGCCAAAACCCGCGGCTGGGCCCCGTCACTTGAAAAAGACTCTCTTCTTTAACCAAAGTTTAACCCGGCTCCTTGGAGTCCTCTGCTGGCCTGACCTCTCTGTCCTTGTAGGATACAGTTGTGTAGGAATTCTAAGTTGATGTAGTGAAAATCCCACGTCCCTGGGATCTGACCACCTCGGTGTCTTATCGCGCTGGCCTGCCATCAGCAAGAATTCTACTGAGTCGGCCTAGCATGAGTCCCCCTTACCCCTCATGTTTCCTCTTAGTAGTTTTCCATTCCTTGACACCCACCCTGCTCCTTCACTACAAACCCCACTTGTCCTTGCTGGGGTCAGAGTTGAGTCCCATCTTTCTCCCCTACTACAAGATCCTATTGTGGTGGCCCCCGCTGCATAAAGTCTGCCTTACCATCTTTAACAAGGGTCATGAATAATTTTTTCTCTTTAACACACTTCAGCCGTCTCTGCAGGCGGCATGCTCTGCCCACATGGGGCATCACAGGTTGGCACAGACTTTCTCATCTCTGAGAATCTTAAACCCAGGAAGGGCCTGACCCACCAGATTTCAGGTTCTCAATAATCTCTCCCAGGAGGGCTCCTGAGGTGGCGGCCAAAAATCTTAGATTTGGGAGGGCATCCATAGTTTCTCACTGCTGGAAAATGAGCCCTGAATGTTTTGTTTAAGAAAAGTCTCGCTATGTTTTCTGCTGGGGTATGCCAGGGCTCCTGATCCTCCCAGCTAGGGGCGATGTTTACCTTCCCTCCTCCTGGGAGGATGTGGGACCCAACGTCCAGAGCCTGCATCTCCTTTATGACCCTCCCCACAGTGAGCTCAGGATCACAGCTGACTGACTGCAGTGCGACTGGCTAGGCTTCTTTCTTGGTTTCCCAGATCCTGGGGACTAGACAGGAGCACAGGAGGAGAAGGGAGAGGAAGAGATGCTCCTTGTTCTCCTTTCTCCTCCCCGCCTCCCTGCCCATCATCATGCTGCTTGGGAATGCGATGCACTAATCTGGGTACCTTTTTCTCATGAAAATCCAATCCTATCGTCCCAATGACATATGCTTGGTAAAGAGAGGGCTAGGCCAAGCTTTGAACATGATGACAGGAAGCGAAAGCAGCCTGGAGATTCTGGGCATAAACAAGGGCCAATTTAAGAAACAGCGAGAAAAGAGAACTATGTGGCAATTCTTGCTGAGAACGGGGCTGGAATACCCACGTGAGGAGCGCAGGCTTGGCGCCAGGCGCTTTACATCCATTAGCTTTTCCCCACTTTATGGATTAGGTAACCGAACCTCGGTGAGGTTAAATAATGTCCCAACGTCCCACAGCTCATGAATGGAGCCAGGATTCAGACTCAAGTCTGCAGATCTATTTGACTGCCATGCCCTGGCTCTTTCCATGAAACCCTATTCCTCCCACTGGGAAAAAAAGTGTGCGCTCCTGAGACCAGGTAAGCACTTCTCACACGTCTTCCGTAGGAAAGGCCTGGCTGCCTTTGTTCTCCTGCCCCTCTGTGCCTCAGACCTTGTTACCATTCATGCGGTTTCAATAAAATGTTCGTAATAATCTCCAAGGTGACAGAAATGGCACCAGTCCGCCAACATCTGGAAGGGCTCAGGGCTGCCATCACTGACACAGGCTCCAGGCTCAGCCTGGACCCCCTGTATGCTGCAGATGGCCTGAATCAGATACCCGGGCCGGGAAGGGCAGGAACAAAATGGTAACCGGGCCTGGGAGGTTTCCGTGAGATAGAGCCGTGAGTTATGGCCCTTCGGTAAGGCCGATCTGTGCAGCAAGCCCTTGCGGAGCACATAACCCAGTCTGACAAGTGACCTTGACAGAATTACAGCAGTCATATTTTCAGTCGGTTGAGCCAGTCTTGACCAATTTCTCTAGAGCATTAGGTGCAAACATAAGTCTCCGTTTCCACATTGCACATGCACGTGTCTGCCTCTCCCCTTCGCTGTTTAAAGTATTTATCTGTGGCTTGTACAAGCGACATCTTTCTCCTCCCTCGTGGGGAAAGGCTGGGAGTGAGTCTCCAGGCAGCCCTCCTCCCTGGGCTGCGTGTGCAGTGAAGCAGTGCGGACAAGGATCTTGTTCCAAGCCCATTGAGCAGGGCTAGCATTCAGTGACCTTCTGCACCAGTAATCCCGTCCCGCGGGGATTGAAATTGATTTTCCTCCTTTCTGTGTGTGAGCACGACCCGAGGGTATAGCTCTGCCGCAAACGCTGATCTCAGGTGTGTATTTAAAGGTGAACAGCGACACTCTTGAAAAGATAAATGAGAAAAGTTGTTTTAAGAACGCTCTGAATAACCTCTACAAATGAACAGGATGCGTGCTTTCATTTCCAAAGAGTAGCTTCTAATTTCTCCACGCTATTGTGTGTGTGTGCACGTGTGTGTGTGTTGGGGTGGGGGTGGGGTGTCTGAAGCTATGAGAGAACACGTGTAAAACGCCAAATTCCTGCCCACGCGGCCGGGCCGAGAGCAAGGTAAACAAGGCACTTGCCTCTGGTGTAAGGTTTAAGGAGGCCTCCCAAAAGTCAAGACTCAAGATGCAATGTCTTAATGTGATATATTTTAAAAAATTAAAATGAATGCAAAAAACCCGCAATGAGCAAAATATCACAATTTTAAATAAACAACAGACGTTACTGCTTTTTCCTTTTGCCTCAGACTCCGATAGAACCCAGCATGGTACTTCTTTATAAACTTTTATTTTTCTCATCGTGGATTTCTTACATTTATTTTGATTTTTAAAATATTGCATGAAGATGTTATTTATCTTGATTACTGAGTTTTCTAGCATCCGCTTCAGTTTTACACCCCAGGTGAATCTCCTCACCCTGGTCCCAGCCCCCTTCAGGCATGTCCTGAATCAGGGGCAGTATCTTTAGAGATTGGCTAAAGACACTAGCTGGCACTTATTTTCAGCCTCCAAAGTGAAAATGAGTTGTTGAACAACTCCTCTAGTTAATAACAGTTTAAGCCAGAATGGCATTCAGGTGTTGTCTTTTGCTTGGTCACAGCTAAAGCCATCTTGAGCGTCAAGTAGGAGGGAAGCAGAATTGGTTGTCTTGGGGATAAGTGTCAGTTCTGTATATACCATGGACAGTCCAAGGACAGTCGAGGCCACGGGAAGGTACAGTGAGGGTCCAGGCCCTGGGAGGCCACGATGGGGGTCTTGGTGGATGCCCAAGTTTAATTTCAATGCTCAGTCCTTGCTGACGATGTCTGTAGAGGAGCCTCAACTTCTCCCACGCTGCTCAGCTCATTGAACATGCTCAGCTGTGCGCCCAGAAGCACTTCCCATCCCCACCTCACTGTCCCTGGTGTGCTCACTGGTGACAGGCTGAGCAGGTATCATTTCAGTAGCCACCCTTTAAGGCTATGGCCTGATGGCTTCCGGTGCGTCTGGAAAAGCCAGCTGTTTCATAATTGTAAAATTGACCTCTGTTCCCCAGGCCCACTACACACTGGAGTATTTCCTGGTGAATCCATCTAACCCCAAATTAAATGACATTTCCTGGTGAGAGATGGGCGAGTGGTTGAAAATAGCACAGCAGTCACTCGGCTCAACTTGTAATATTCCTTTCCATTCACTATCTCACGTCATTCCTGGTCTATTAACTAGCGAGGTTAAGGGGTGACACGGTGAGCTTGGAGTCCTGCCATTTGGAATAAGAGGTCAGCAGGAGGCTGTCTGACTCTGGGTTTTAGTTTTAACTTTTTTAGCGTCTTCCTTCCCTTCTCAAACCTGCCCTTCCTCCTTCTGTATGCCTTCTTTCAGGAGTTGACATCATTGTCTATACTCAACCCAGCATTTCCACTTTTACTTCCTTAACCTTTTAGATTCCACTCTGCTGCCAGAGTGATCTTGTTAAAATGCTGATGTGACTGAGTCATTTTACTTTTTAGATCCCTCTACAAGTCCTTCTAGCCTAGAAGGTGAGGTTCAATTTCCCTATTTTGGCTCTGCTCACCTCACTGTGCTCATGGCTCACTGTTCTTCCCATTCTGACCACTTGCAGCACTATCTCAACCCCAGGGCCTTTGCACATATCCTTCCCTCCTTTTCTGCTCCAGTTTCCTCTCTGGGAGCAACTACATGGCTGCCAGGACAAACTGGCAAATTAATGTATGTTTGTTTTTAGATTAAAGTAAAAGATTGATTGGAGATATGAAACTTTTCATGATTCCCCATTTTAGTAGACTTTTTGATCAATCGATTAACCATGATAGTACATTGGATAGAAGGGTTTGTGAAAGGAAACCACCAGGGATGCATGCTGGGGAAGAGCTGAAGGACCTACTTAGAGAGGCGTGAGTGATGTCACCCTCTGGCTGGGGAAGGAACCACATTACCTGTGTCCCCTCTGTGACTTGGTGGGTAATGGCATAAGGTTTAGGGACAGATGTTATTGGACCAATTAAACAGTTGAGAGCCCTTAAAAAAGACCAAGTTTTCACTATGCTTTCCAAGAGTGGGCCATAATTTTTATTTAAGTACACACAAGCCACAGAAGTCTGAAACACATTACTACTCAATGTATGTAACTGTTGCTGGGCGTAGGGGGGATCGCTCTGAATTGCTACTTGGGGAGCCATGTGCGGTCACTGCTGGCAGCAGCCAGTCACTGGGGCAGTGCTTTCCTGGCAAGCGCGGACGGGATCTTAGAGCCACGATTATTTTGGAAAGGAAAATGAGCAGATGTGCCCTGTGCCTGACTCCGTGGCCCGCCTAGGGACTCATTCGCACATTCTATGGGGCTCTGTTACCCTAAGGCACGTCGTTGCTCTTGGTTAATTGTTATTACCACGCGTAAGAAGAACTCTGGGTGAAATTGCCAAGTCTTTCGCTTGGGCCAGAAAAGGAAAAATCTTTCCAACAGAAAATGAAATTTAGTTTGGCATCCTAATAGATCATTAGCCTCAAAAGGTGCACTTGGCCTTGCTGGAAGGTTTGAGGAAAGGAATCGTAACTATCTAGTTTATGCGCTCTGCCCAGTGAGGCCAGCCACCTGTCCCATGGGCCCCATAGTGTCCCAGGTCTGGCTGAATCTCTGCTTCAGACAGGGTGCTCCTGCCCTATCTCCTTGCCGTTAGGGGAAGGGATGGTCCACCCCAGAGTCTCATTTGCCCGGCATGAGCATTTGGCTTGGTTGGAGATTACACTTGGTCTTTTCAAATCTTACTGCTTCCCGTGGCTATGCCAGCTCCGTCTAACAGCCCTGGATCCCCTGCATGACTCGACTTCATTTCTGCCTCCTGCTCCCCCTACATGGAATGCACCAGGAAGTTCAAAATGGACGCTGCTGTGATTTCTTCTTATGCTGGGTCCCTTCTTGACAAGCCTGTGACCCTGGAGGTTTTTGTCTGGTTTTGTTTGATCTGTTGTACAGCTCCCACATATGCAGTTTACTCACTTTCCAACGTCCCTGAATGTCAGCCTATGTGGAAAGAAATGTACCAATCTTTGGACATTCACAGCTGGTCTGGAAGCTAGTTCATATCACGGATGATGTGTGGGTTACGCAGATTTACGTGACAGGCTTGTCTGGTAAGCCACACTATCAGGGCCACAAACCTCTGTCCTTTCCAAACTGTAACCAAAGGTTATCAGCATCTCAAAGTGTTCTTTGAGTGGAGGTCATAGACTCAAATAAGGGCTGGTGCCAAAATGAAAACAAAACCTTCAGTCACGAGTTGACTCTATGTGAGGCGGGTGGCAGGGAGCAGAGAAGGGTAGAGGGTGAGATGTTGAGGTCTTGGGGGTAGAGGGGATGAAGCTGACAACTTGAATGATAAAGGGAGAATTCCAAGGAGATGAAATAGGCTGTTCAAACATTGATTGCTGGGACTTCACGCTGGCAGAGCTCATAGAGGAACTGAGAAAGGTGGACTGGGGCTGGGCATGCCTTTAGGGCCAAATATGTGGAGTCTGAGCCTGACTGTGCTTACTTACTTTGAGACTTGACTCTGTGCCTCAGTTTCTTCCGTGGTTGACACCATTGAGAATAAACAATCAATCCTCATGATTGCTTGCTGGAACTTTTAGGAGTCTGACTCAAAGTGTGGAGTGGGGCGTAATTGTGAGATCACACAGTCACAAAGACCAGGATTGTGTCCAGCATTCAGTGAGCTCTCCAAGATACCTGGAGGTCAGGTGCTAGACCTGGGAGAGGTGCAGGAGGAAAGGGACCATTCCTTCATGGACCAGAACATGGGCAAGCAAGATAAGAGAAAATACCTCAGGAAACAATCCAAATCAATTAGGCAGGCCATCCTAAGGGGCAGAGTTTGTTGTGTTTACTGTACTTTCAAAATGTGGCCCCAGAAACCCATAGATTGTACAACACCAAGAATGGACCCTAATGTAAGCTGTGGACATTGAGTGATTATGACGTCAATGTAAGTTCATGCATAGTAACAAATGTACCACTCTGGTGGGGGATGCTGGTAACGGGGGAGGCTATGCATGCGCAGAGGCAGGTAGTATGTGGGACATCTTTGTACCTTTCCTTGATTTTGCTGAGAGCCTAAAACTGTCCCAGAAGAGTAAAGTTTTAATAAAAATTTTTTTAAAAATGTGGTCATAGCCAGTGGTCACTAGAAGTAGATACTGTGAGGAACGGGCCACCACAGTTGGATCTGAGCATTGAAACCCTTTATTAATACAAAGAGTTTTTCCTGTTTTCTTTGCTTTTAGCAATTACCTTGTACTTGTGGCTCAGATTGGCTAGAGATTATTTGGAGCCACATGTGCACATATGGTTAGGTCACTTCCTCCTGATGTTGTAGTTGTGTGTTTGATTTTAATAATTCTCAATATACTATTTTACATTCAGTCCCACCAAATCTAATCTTCTTTGATTTGGCCTATTATTCCAACTTTGCCAAAAACTTTTTGAGACTGAGGTCTGTTTTCCATTTTGTCATACATTATCCCCAGCTTTCTGATAAATGCAAAGTTGAAATTCATGTTTGATATTCTTTTATTGACAGAAAGGGTTGAAAAGATAAAGTGAGGAACAATTTCTGTAGAACTCCATTACAGATCTCTTTCCAGCTTAATATTAATCCAATCTCTTTGGGTAATTTCAATCAGCCAGCTCTTATCACCTAAGCCAATGTGCCAGACACAGAGTCTATTCCTCCTTAATGGGTAATGGTCATGCTGCCTCGGCCAAGCCTTTACCTTCCATCCCATCTACACTACATCCCTTCTAAGGGAAACCTTCTCCCTGACCTCCTACTTAGGCAGCCTTGCTTTACCTCCGGTCACCATTCCCCTTGCTAGCTCCTCCTGACTTAAGAGCAGCAATCCTATCACCTTTGGCCTGATGCAAAAAAGCTGGACCAGTCATATTCTATAACTTTAAAATCTGAACGAAGGAAAATGAAAAGAATTTTATAATTTGCAGTAGTGAAAGATTGTCACGAGTTGGAGTTGGAGTTGAGGCAGGTTAAATCTTGCCTCTTTCCGTGCAGGGAAAGGTGATGATGAAGTGTGAAAGCTTCATTTGTCTCGTAGATCACTCTGAGAAGCTAATGAAAGCTGCAGACTCTCCCCAGAGAAATGCACAGATGAGTATATATATGACATTTTGCTTACAGTTTCAAGACATTTATAGACATTCTCAATCTTGGGGTTGTTAGTCCTAGAGAAGAGGCAATAAGTCTGGTTGGTACTGAGACAGTGAAGAAGTTGTACAGAAAGAAATAGGGCTGGAGAGAGACAGAGACCCCCAGACCCACCTCCTGTCCTGAGGTCTCCAGGTCTGATTCCAGTCCACCTGACCTTTCCAGTAAACCCCACTTTTCTTGAGATGAATTAAGTGAATCCCTGTTCCTGCAACTAAAGGGGCTTGGCAAATAATCAGATCATCATCCACCCAGTCATGCAAGCTAGAAGCCCTAGATCACATCTCTAACTCCAAACCTCACTGTCCGAGGGCTTCATGCTTTACCCTTCTTACTGTGCTGATATTCCAGGGCCAACCCATCCCTTCTCTGCCACTTGTTTGCCTGTATCCTAATGATCGCTATGCCTCTAGCCCAGACTGCTTCCCAAACTAGACAGGTATCCAACCACCTGCTGAACATCTCTGCTTGATTGTCCCATTAATGCTGCAAGTGCAACATCTTCAAAACTGAACTCTCAGCTTTCTGACCACAAAAGAGAAACAGCAGAAATAAAAGCAAGGCATACACAACGGCTCTTCTCTGAATATGCTCTGTCTTTTTTTGTTGTTGTTGACCTTATCTGTTCTGAGAAGCCTAAGAAACATCCGACACCCTTCTCTCACTTGACCACAACCAAGTCAATCACTACATCTTGCTGACTTTATCCTCTGAAGAGTTCTCACAATTGTATGTTGCTCGATCCTTATCTGCCATCCTCATCCATCACCTGGATGAGGTTTGTTAGAAAATAAAACGCTAATCTGTCTCCCTGGCTCCAATCTTGACCGTGCCGATCTGTCCTCCAGCTACAGCCACACGAGCAGTCTAAATTACAAATGTAAGACATTCCCGCTTAAAACGCTTCAGTGGCTCCACACAATCTACAATAAAGTCCACCCGTCCTACAGGGCACAGTGACCCCCATGATGTCTCCTGTTTATTGTCCTTCTAATCCCATCTCCTGCTCCTTCCTCCCATCACTTCATGCTCCAGCCAACTGACCTTCCTACACTTCCGGCCGGTACCATCCTGTTTCCTAGCCCAAGGCTCTGCTGAGGATCCCCTTCTCCAGTTGAAGGCTTTTCACAGGCTCCTCTTCAGCTCAATTCCTTTGGGGGGATCCGAAAAAAAATAAACGTGTATTCGGAAAATTACTGATACTTTCATACAGAAATTGAGAAGAATTGTACATCATACACCCCGTGGCCAAACACCATAAAATTCCATTTAGAGACATTTAACAAATTGAGGATATCTAATGTTTTCGATCTAAGGTCCCCAGCATTCCTATTTGATGATCTCTTCATGGCCCCTTTCTGCCCTAGTGTCATTTACTCTGCCACTTCTCCAGCCGTGTTCGCTCCAGCCTTTGCCTCTTCTTGTATTGCTACTCATCCACCCTAGTTTCCATCTTTTTTTAATGGAGACCAATATAATTCTCATTTAGATTTTCCAACTTGTGTCATTCAGCCTAGCACTCCATCAGCAGATGCAACATCTTTCTAGGAACTGGCTTTCATTTTAAGGTAGAGTCAATCTTAAATATGTGAATTTTAACTAATATGTGAATTTTAAAGAACGAGTTTTAAAATAATACTTTTTTTCTGGTTACAAAAATAATTTCTGCTCGTGGAGGAAAGATTAGAAATTGCAAAGGAACATAAAGAAGGCCATAACAACTTCCACATTGCTAACTACCACAGATGTAATATACTTTTCTCTCTCTCTCGCTCTGGTTTGGCTAGAATCCCCACCAGAAACCAGGAAGAATCTCTCCTAGGACCTCTTAGAAGGCTGAAATCAGGCCTAACTTGCAAAAAAATCTGAAGAAAGTTGAATTTTTCTTTTCTTTTAATAAAAGCAAACTGCTACAACCTGGAAACCCGTAGGTATGCACTTTCTTAAAAAAAAGATCGATTTACTTGAATAGGTAGTACATTCACAGGGTTCAGAATTCTAGGAGTATAAAAACTTAGTGTGGTTTTTAAATACGACTGTAAATTCTTTGCCACTCTTCCCATCAAAAGATAGAATTTAATTCTCCTCTCCTTGAGTATAAACTGGCCCGAGTGATCCAGTTTCCTGGGTATCCATCCAGAGATTTTCATGCACTTGAAAAAAATATAAATATATATTCATTCGCTTCCTTTTTACACATTATTTCATATCTTGATTTTTTTCCTTTTACCCATCAATACGTTTGGGAGACCAGTTCTTCTTAACAGTTAAATAATGCTGCCTTGTCTGGTTCCCTTTATAATGGGCATTTAGGTAGTTTCCAATCTTGCACTCTTGCAACGTTGCAGCAAATAATCTTGTGCATACTTCACTTTGCGTATATGTATGTATCACTCTAAGATAAAGGCCTTAAAATGGACTTGCTGGGTCAAAGGGTAGGCACAGTTGTAATTTTAGTAGATATTGCCATATTGACCTTTGCAACCCTCCAATTTATTTCCCCTCCAGTGATAAATGGGTTCCCTTTACGTCGAGCCCCACCAACCCAGTATGTTGTCAGACTTTTGGATCTTTGCCAATCGAAGAGGCCAAAAATTGGTATCTTAGAAGACTTTTGATTTGTATTTTTCAGTCAAGTGATGTTGAACATATTTCATACTTTTAAGAGTTTTTTTCATATTTACTTTTCTGTGAACTGTTTATGTCTTTTGCCCATTTTTGAATGGATTGATGGTCGTTTGAAAAATTAATTTGAACATATGTGTTGAAAATTAGGCCTTTGTCTGTGATGAAAGTAGTAAATTTTTTCCTGATTTGTTGTTTGTCTTTTTGACTTTGCTTGTAATATTTACTGCATGGAGAATTTTTATTTTAATTTTCTGTGGTAGAATTTTGTCAGTTTTTTCTTTTATGACTTCTGAATCTTATGTCACAGGTGGAAAAGTCTTCACCATTCTAAAGTTACTAAATAATCCCCTTATGCTTTCTTCTAGTAATTTGGGGTTTTAATTTTTTACATTTGAAATTTATCCGGGTATAAGGTGTGAGGTACGGATCTAACTTTATTTCTTCAAGATGGCTTCTGCATTGACCCAGTACCGCTGATCAAATAATCCACTTTCTCCTCACTCATTTGAGATGTCGTTTATGTCAGGTACTACATTCCTAGATGTGTTTTGGTTTATTTCTAGACTACATTTTGTTCTGTTAATTTGTCTGTCTATTCTGAGGCGGTACCATGCTTTTTAATTGTTGATATTTTAGAATATGTTTTAATATCTGGTATACATATTTCTCATTCATTGCTCATTTTATTCTTAGCTTTCCAGATAAAATTTGTTTATTTGTCCCTATGAAATTTTGAATCACTACATCTGCATCTGTAGAAGTGCATATCTGAAGTGCATATCTACTAATACTCTTAAAACTTTGGTGATATGGCCACTTCCTTTCAAGGCTCTTATCTCTTTCACACTCAATCCTAAATGATTCTTACTTTTTGGCCAGAGGCAACTCTAAGGGGCACCACTTCCACTACCTCCTGAAAATGAAATTATTAGCAAGATTAAGACAAAGAAACCGTGACTGGTGTACTCGATATTTAGCACATGTTTGGTGAGTTTAAATCTGTCCCCAGAAGAGGGCAGATCTTAGGAAAGTGTCAATAATATCCTCTATCTGGCAGAGCGGTCTGTAGCATGGGCTCAGGCTCTCCATCCACACACTCTGCATCGTGCTTTTCCCTTCGTATGCAGGATTTTCATACTCATTTATTCATCAGCGATTTGGGGGGAACTCACTAGGTACTAGGCACTGTTGTAGACAATGGTGATGCAATAGTGAACAAAACAAGATTAAAAAATCCCTGCCCTTGTGGATTGTGGAGCTTGCTTTCTAGAAAGCTGATGGATTTACACACACACACACACACACACACACACATTTTTAATAAAACTACACTCTTCCGTTCCACGTCCAGTCAAGAGCTCCTGACCAATGCCATGGGCATCTGCTGTTCTTGGCTGCCCAGGCTTCCTGGCCTCTTCTTGACAGCAACCCTCTGGCTTTCCTTTGGGGACAGATTCTTCCCACTTCTGGCTCTACAGGATCCAGTGAGAGACCTTCAAACCCTTGCCCTTTGTGATTGATTCAGGGATAAGTAACATATTAAGAATGAGAACCCAGGGCTTTTTCTGGAACAACTGAGCAACAGGAGTTCTTTACCCTGGGTTTACTAATCTGATAGAAAGTAAACTGTACTTTCTACTGCTATCTCAATCATCCTTCAAGTGTGGAAAGTTTTTAAAGAATGAAGACAATACAAAAGAAAGCAAGACCAGGACATTTCACGTCTATTTTACTGACATTGTTTGAGATTCTTGATCCTCCCGCATTTAGAACTAGGTCTACCCTTGGACTTCTTAGTTCCGTGGGTCACCAATTCAAGGTTGAACCCATGAGATCACATTTATTTCCTATTCTTAGAATTTAGCTTTATTCTCATACTCTGAGAACCTGCATATGAACTGTGAAGCTGTAAGCATTGTTTTAAACCCTCTTCCCCATTGTTCTTTCCTGAGAGTGACTGGGTACCTCCCTTGCTACTGTTTATTCATTCTACGTCATGTCTGTTTTGGCCCTGCCACCGAAACTGAACCAAGATTGGGAGAGGACTGTCTGGAAAGACTGCTCAAGTGTGGGTGTTTCCAGGGCTAAGTTGGGCAAAATGGTTGTCACAAAATGATCTGTCTGGGTTGTCATGATGAAGGAACTGTACAAAAACAGTAGCCAGGAAACCAAGGTATGGTTGGGGCCTGGAGGTTAGCTGCTCAGTGGATGAAAGTAGGAGAGCCAGCCAGAAGGTGAAATGAAGAGCAGGCAAGGTTGAAACGAGGCATTCAAGGCCTGGAAGAGCGCATAAGTGAGTGAGATGGACTGAAGTATGCAAACTCTGAACACCCAGTAGATGTTCTGTAATGGAGCGAGCATTTGAAGGGAGCCAACTGGGTAAGCACTGACACAGTGCATGTTTGAGTTCTCTATTCCACACTTGAATATCATTCCAAGTTGTCTCGAGCACGTTATCAAGTCTTGCTAAGTATGTGAGTTCAATATTTACCAGATAAACTCTATCTTTTCTCAAAAGCTTATCATTTTACTAGAGTATACTATGGTCCAGAAGACTAAACTGAGTTCTTTGAAAGAATATAGTATTGCTCAACTGGATAATACTCCCCAGGAGGGCAGTTGGAATTGTGTTGGGCATTTTTCGGTTGTCACTATGACCGGGGCCTGTTAACTGGCAATAGATGGGCAAGAAGCAATATTGGCCTACCAAATAGAATAACATCCCTTTCAAAATAAAAACAATGCCCACCTCAAAAGAAAAACTCTGACTGTACTCTAGACAGTTAACTTCCATAGTCTTCTTCCTAAAGTCTCCTTTGCTTTCGAAGTCATGAATATTAATGGAGGAGGACGTCAAAACTCTGCCTCTGTCCCAGCCCAAGTGTGTTTCTCATGTGGATGTTATCTATTTACTCTTGTATCAGATACACTGGGTAGCTCTCAGGAAGTCTGGGAAACTCTGGAAAGATGCCTGTTACGTTTCCTTTGCTTCTCAATTGGCCACGGCAGGTGTACCCACAGCTGCCTCCAGACCCCAAGGGGAGACACCAGCCCCCATGAGTCTCTTCCTTTAGGGACAGCATGAAGCTTCATTTGCCCATGAATTATGAAATGCTTGCTGCTGTCTCCTTTCGAAGCTCCAGATCTACCTTCTATGAAAAGAGGCTATTCCTCATGTATACAGTGGATTAAACCTTTCCATTTATTCATTTAGTTTTTCATTCTTTCACTTCTTCAGTAACATGCGTGGAGTATGTATTCTGCACCTGACACCGTGCTAGGGGCCAGGTGCATTTCTTCCTCATGTCATGTGCTCCCCATTCACTAGCTTCTTGACACTCTCATTGATTCTATCTCCTTAGAGTTATTTTTCCACCTGACGCTTTCTGCAAAAATTTTGGCCACTACATCTAAGAACCCTATCCTTTTTAGTCAGCAAGAATTCAGGAGACGGTCTGCCAGACCCTTTTCTCTCTAGCAAAAAAGTTTGTATTTATATCATACACAATCCACAGGAAGACAAATCTGCG